CACTAGTTTGTTATAATTATTAATACAAAGATCGAACACTCAGAAAAGTCGTTGAAAGACCAAGTACAAAGACACGACGCAAGCACATAGAAGAATTCGTGAGGTCCGTTGATTCGTTCCGTGGCTTAGTTGGTATAGCGTCTGGCACGGTATGCAAGAAGACGTCGGTTCGAATCCGACCGGATCGAAGGAATTTTTTCTGAGTGTTTTTTCTGAGTGTTCAATCTTTGTATTAATAATTATACCAAATCATCTTTATTTTTTTATTATTAAACTTTACGGGCCCTTTTGGGGTGAGTACTGTGCATTGCGTTATTTAGTTTTATATGGAGAGTCTTAGAATAATTGTGCTTTTACAGCCTTCCTTTTCCTCTTTTATCGTCTCATACAATGAATCTCGTGGGCCGAACCGTCTGCGTTCTCATTTCTCTTAAGCTAGGCCACAATTTTTTTATGATTTTCAAAACAGACAGCTGTTAACACTCAGTATCTTTGTCGTTGGCAGAAAAAACAACTTACGAAAGATCATTTCATAGTCCATTCTTAGACGGGCTTTTGGCGATTCACTTTTGATGAATGCAGTAAATATTTGTTTTGATTTATGTAGTTTTTAAGTTTATTGTGTATTATGATACCTAGTGGCGGAGCGAAGAACTCATGCGCCCGATGGTAAGCGACACGCCTGTCCATAACAGTAGCAGTGTCGCTCAGAACTTTAAACCGCAAAGATCTGAGAGACAATGCGCCCTTCTACGTCTCGCTGGGACATAAGTTGCCAAGTCCCGAAATAGAGACAAAATTTCATTTAATTTGTTTGAAAACTATTTTGCCATATCGTTACTGTGACAACTGCGCTCCGATTGGCCAACCCGAATTCGGAACAATTGACGGGTGTCGTCAATGGGTGTCGTCAATTGTTTCACTTCAAATCGACCAGTTAACTTGAGCCTTTGCTATAATGGGCGAAAATTGCACCGATGAAATTTGATTCCGTTTTGCTGTTTTTTCCCCACACCACCGAATGGAACAACACGGCATTGTTAGAGATACTATCTTTATTACAATAAATACAGAATATTTTTGGAATATACGGAGACGTACACAGATCAGTTGTTAGCGCTGTACTATTTCAGTGCAAACGATAGTTGATATTTATAAGTGATATATAACTGATGAGTTACCAGGAATGTGTAGCCCTTATTTCGTCTCTATTTCTGGTTATGTACTCGATGCTGTAATTTCACCAGTAGCCTTACCCTACAAAACTAGAGCGCAGAAATACTCACTGCTGCTTGGCGGCATAAATTGCAAGCTGACACCAGATTGTTCTTTCCTCGACGAACTCTTTCTCAAGAAGCTCTACTACTACTATTTATAAGTACTGTAACGAGGGGTATAGCTCAAATGCATTGCGAGAGGTACTTTTATGAATATAAAATGGAATAATCCTTAAAAATATACTTTATTTCACTTTTTTACATGTTTTGGATTACAAATCAATAATCTTAATGTCAAGATCTTCCATTCTTTTCTTTTAGTTCTTTTTCAAAGCATTCTAATTATGAATCTATTCACTCAGCCAGTGTTTCTACTCATAGAGTACAGCCTAGTCTACAGTACTATACATGATTTATATTTGTCGTCTTACAAACAATGTTCAAATTCTGCAGTAAAGATATTAAAAGGTTTGTTGACACCTTTTCCTGTCGCACAGTCGACAAATGAAACTTTCTTCCAGCGCAAGCATTCCCTTATGACGTAGAGTCCTTTTAACAAGGCCTCAAAAGATATCTTGCGGCCTCCTTCGTCGTCATCCCACCTTTTTATCAACCTCTTCCCTGGATCGTGGCCATTTACTTTTAAAATTTTGAAACGTTCTCGAGTTCCTTTTCCTTCGTTATTTTTACAATTGGTTTCTTTTCGTCAAAATTCTCGCAGCGAGAGGACGTGAAGTACGTGGACTATTGACTGTTTAGTAAGGATTGTTTTATATTCTTTGTCCCTTTTTATATCGTTGTATTGTTTTGTTGCAGCCATTCTTTGCTTTTTCTAATAAATTTATGTGGACCGAGCTTTCTCTTTTACTCTAACTAACAGTAGGCTACAATCTTGTAGGCATGCACTGCCCTCCACCTTTACGTTTGGATTCTTTAATTTAACATCGGGTAGAGAGGAATCATCTGTTTATTATATAAAAACAAAAAAGAAAAAGCAAACGTCGTCTCGGACCATCTGTCTGTTCTTTGCAAATATTAAACACTTTTTCAAAGTACAAGAGCGTCCTTTCTCAATATAGATATGATAATTACTCTGTACTGTATGTATATCAACAATACACAAAACTGCAATAAAATCATCGGTATCAATTTCATTCTCGATACGATCTAGTTTCGCCACAGAGCATTAAGCTTGCTCAACTTTTCCCAACAACCAAAACATGGTATTACAAAATATCAATTATTCAACAAAACGCTATATAGATTTTAACCGATAACCCACTTTCAGGAATGTTTTTAAAATGTTGATATTCCATCAGTATTTCGAGAACTTTTGCCACTGTTAAACGCTAAAAATGACCATTCGCGAGAGCACGGTGTGTAGTTTGCTGCAGTCGTTCCCAATTTTTCTAATCCTCGCTCAGAATCACAACAAATGCCTAAAGACTCCGCTGGTTTATAAGCCACCCATGCCGACACCATCTCCTGAGTACTACGAGGCTTTAGAGGCGCTCCTTCAAACTCTGTACCACGATAACAAGTACAACAGTAATCACGACCACGGTTATTACGGTTGTCACGGGGAAACTTACGAGCACAGCAAGAAATGGCCTCAGCAGCATACCACACCGTGCTATAACACTTACGCCTATCCTAGTTCCTCGAATCACTGGTATCAAACGGGATACACGTATCCGAGCCACGGATATTCCAATATAGCACATTATCCGTCGTTTAAGAAAGTAAACATCTATAATACAAGCACTGGTACACATGGATATAAGAGTTATGCTCCGAATCAAGTGTACAATATAATAAATCAAAAGCATAAGGTCGTTTATAAGAAGAAAAACAGAAGAAGGCCGCAGAAGCTGCAAGGTAAGAAAGTTACTGGAATTAAATGCTACAAGCGAAGTTGCGGGGCGCGAGCGGGGCTTGTTGCTGGCCCCGGATCTTTTTCTGCTACACCTGGACCTTGTGCCGCTACTGTCCCCTTTTTTAAACGAAATTGATTGACAAGAACAAACTGACTTCCCGTAGCCGCCACACATTTGTTTGCTAATACTTTGACGCTTATTTTATATTATATTTATTCATTTGAATCAGGCAACAATGACCCATAATATTATATTCCTTAAAAACTAACATACCCGTCTTACTATTATAAAAAAATAAATAACTAATTTACACGAATTGCACTTCTCGATGTGTAGCGCAATCTGTTGTAACGTAACCTGACTCGGAATCGGAACACACACACATACATAAGCTCACGCCCTAGTGCCACAGGAGGGGTAGGCAGAGACTACGGAACACCACTTTATTATTCACAACTCTCGAGCCGCACAGACAACAACTACCATTTTCATACAACTTCTTTTATTCTTGTCACTTCGGATCCCAGCTTTTTTGAGGACATCACTGATCTGGTCAAAGCAAGTCCTTCCGGGACGGCCTATCATATATCATGTCATAAATTCGCATTGGTATCAAAAAATTATTTAAAAAACTAAATTTCAGTAATTGGCAAAAACTATACATTTAAGTAGGCACTTTCGATGTTTGTATGTAATTAAGAGAACAACTTATTCTTTTTTAAATTCTTATTCTTTTATAAGCGACACGCCTGTCCATAACAGTTGCAGTGCCACTCAGAGCTTTAAATCGCAAAGATCTCATCAGATCAAAGAATAGAATAGGTAGGCAATAGTTAATATTTAAACGAATTTAAAAATTACTGTAATAGGAATTTTAATTACATACTTTTTATTTATTGACAAAGGATACGTCATCGGTCAAATAATGACGTCACCGCCCTTCGTATTTACCCGCCAAGCGGACCAAGTCATAGGGATATAAATTTTTCAAAATGACGCATTCTCCGACATAGTCCTTTATGAAATTCCAAGTATGCTCGAAAACAAATTAAATTAATTCGCATGTTAAATTGTTGTAGCGCGTCCCGTACGCCGCTTCCTCTCCCCTAGTCCACATCAACTGCAAAGGTCCTTGCCGGGCACTATGACGCGTGATCTTACCTCGAATAGTTTATATGTACAATGTTGGTCAAGATCGACCACACTTGAACATCGAACGACCGGCAAGCGTGTGCGCAGCCGTTTTTAATTTTTTTTTTAATACAGTTCGTTTTTTATCAGTGTTCTTGCTCAGTTCTAAAGCTCAAGTGTAGTGTCGTCATGGCCCAATTATTGTTTATTTCCACGATTTGTGTGTGTTTAATTGTTGCGAATGCTCAGTTCGGTAAGCTAGTTTAGTAATGCCATCTGGACATGAACTTTCAACATGCATAATCCAATTTTCAAAAAAAACATCAGTTTCTTTTTTTTATTTGCTAGCACGCATTGTGCTTTTCGCTTTCGGTGTGGTTCTCAATATTTATAAGCCTCTCCAAATACATACTATTATTCAAAGGCACAAGATTACAATTCATAAACGAAAATCTGAATTAAATTAATAAAGAGTAGGCCTATAGCAGTTTTTTTTTTGTTAAAAGATCCTATCGATCAAGGTACTGGTGCTTTGTAATCTAAATACATTATTAACATATAAGTTTCTTTCTCTTATCAGATTTATAATGTTTATAAATATGACATAAACCTAGGATTTGTTCTTTACTGCGATTGGTCGAATACTTAACCTCGAACTCAAGAGGTATTTATTCGCAAAGTTAGTTATATAGCATTGACACATTTATTTGTATATATGTCAAGCGTGTGTGATATGCTTTATTTATTAATTTATTAGTACCAAGGATGTCTGCCATTTTTAAGTTATCATAAAATAAAGGTATTTTAATGAGAATACTAATATCCCATGCATTTTAGTCAAATAAACCAAAGTCTTTATAATGACATAACTGATATTTTTGCAAAAAAATTAAAAAGATTCCAGATCCCCTTTAAAAAATCTTACCTGGCAATAAATAAAGGAGATAGAGAAAATTAGCATACTATATAAACCACATACACACATATTGTGAAAAACAATATAGTTAGTAGCAGTAGACCTCCTTGTGAGAGAGTTCGTCCAGAGAACTACTGCCACCTGTCCTATTTCTGCCGCCAAGCAGTAATGTAGCATTACTGTGTTCCGGTTTTGAAGGGCAAGGGTGGTGGTGAAATTACAGGCACATGGAACATGTCAACTTACGTCTCAGGGTGACAGGAGCAGTGGCAATGCCCCTCAGATCTTTGCGATTTAAAGCTCTGAGTGGCACAGCATCTGTCATGGACAGGCGTGTAGCCAACCATCAGGCGCATGAGTTCTTCGTCTCATCACTAGATATTATAAAAAAAATCAAGATACAAATAGACGTTTTCTATTTTCAACTCTTTTAAGTTTTTCCAAAGAGACCGTCAACTTTTCCCCATGAAAGTGTCCAATTGCCTGGTATCAAACTAGGGAATTCCCTGAACCAGAGCAACGGAATTCACTCTAGGGCACTTCCTATAACAAACCAATTTAGACAAATTCATTTCCCATTTGGTCCTGCCGGGAATCGAACCCGGGACCTCCTCATCTAGCGCCCACAGAATAAACCATTGGGACACCGAGGGACATCAACGGATCATCAACATGGCGACCTCTTTTTGATCCAATCTTGGATGTACCTCTGTGTGCCTCTTCCGTCTACTTCCACACTTGGCGATGTTATGTACGACTCATCGTCCTAATAATTGAAGGAGCCATGTGTAAATCGCTGCTTGTCAAGAATAGGTGTCAAACCACAAAGAGTTCCTTTTAGATGAGATTTGTTCAGAAAATGCAAATTTTTTCTATCACATGACAACGTTGAGATAGTCTACGATAACATCAACTTTGTGGGGCACACACGTCTCAGGTTTTTTAAACTATCTTCCTGGTAAATTAGATGCTTATGAGATAGGCCACTATTCTAGAAAGCCATCGATAATGTCAACTTAAAATTTTGTAAAATTAAAAACATGCAACGTGTCTCTGAGTGAGTGTATGCGTGTGCGTGTGAGTGAGTGTCTGTATGTGTTTTGTTCTTTTATAATATCAAGTGTCGCCTGTCCATAACAACTGCATCGCAAAGATCTGAGGAGCAACGCCACTGCGCCTCTCACCCTGAGACATAAGTCGACAAGTCCCATGTGCCTATAACTTCACCAGCACCCTCCTTTGAAAACTGAAACGCAGTCATTATATTACTGCTTCACGACAGAAATAGGTAAGGCGGTATACTTAGGTACTACTCTGGGCGAACTGTCTCACAAGGAACTCTACCGCTGTTGTGCGTCTAAAATACCGCTTTAAAAATTAGCATCATATTTTCTATATGACCATGGAGTATATACAAAAATACGTTTATCATATAAAGCTGAAAACATACTTGCTTGCCTGAGGTATGTTATTGTATTTAGTACATTGTATACATTGAGTGTTTAACATTTTTCACTTTGCAGTTTGCTGGGTCTTAGGGGAATATCGAGTAGTTAAGATAGAATTGCAAATATTTCTTCAGATCTAAAATTGCGTATATAATTTTTTAAACAAACCTAGCTTCCATCTCGACCTGTAAAGAGTCCGTAATATCCCAAAAAATTATTTCATGACTTAAAGGTATGTCAGGAACATCTATAAATAGACCCAACTCGGTGATAGGCAAGGGTGATCTAATGCATTCTACACATTAGGTTACTGCAAAAACAATTGAATAGCTGCTAAAACTTTAAATGAAGTAATCAACATGACGTAATTTCGTAAGTAAGTCCGAATCTGGCAAAGGTAAACCCCCATTCTAATAACATGCTAATAACTTGTATCAGATCTGATACATCCAAACAAATATTTCAATGGAAGCCTAGATTCAAGTAAAATTATTTCTTCAAAATATAAGAGATGTATATTATTTAATTAGGAAATTTTAACTGTATCTAAACACATACCTACATAAACTATGTACCTAGATAAGTTACCGGCTTTATGATAAAAAATTAAATGTTCCAACGACTACCTGAAATTAACTCTTCGCACAGTTTTTCCAGCGTTTTTTTATTTGATGCGCATGAGTCAGTTGAAACGAGTTTGCCTTTATTGCTGGCCATTACTTTGTGAAGTCAAATAATGTGGTTAGAAAAGATGAATAAATTTAAACATCTACTCTAGAATTTGACACCACGTCGTGAGTTTTTAGAACTGTATGATAACTCTAAGAAATTGTATCTTTATAACAATACTGTGCCTTACAATCAATGGTTTCAAACTAGGGACTTCCCTTTACTATTTCTACCACCCAACCAGATTCTATTTAGAAAAATCCAATTGTAGTTGATTAATTTTTAACTCCGTAGTGTTTAATCCAAATAAACCAGTTACAATTCGTTCAGGTTTTTTTTCACTACAAAGAGAAGACTGTTTGGATGTGGACATGCAAAAATTTACAAATAACTTCCTATCATATCTAGAAAAAATCTCGAGAAGACTCACTGGGTTTCTACACTTGAGGCCTGGCGGTAATCCCGAATACGTGTATCCTTTCTACCATCGGCCAATCAGCAACAACGCCCCGTATGACCCATACGGACGACCCTATCAGAACATACCAAACTACTATCCTCGGTATCCATACGAAGATCCATACGCAAGGCCTGTACAGTTTCCGAATTCGAAGCCATATGAAGAAGAGTACAATTATCAAAATCAAGGAGACTACCAGTACCCCTCAGGAGGTAATTGTGTATAATTCGTATCTTTTTGGATGTTTACGTAATTACTAATAAATCATAATCAATTTTGTTATGTATCAGAATACAACCAGGATTCAATAGAAAATCAATACCCACCGTTTGCCAATACGAACACAAATTTGATTAACAACAACAATGAACAAGAAATACCTACGGAAATACTACAACCGAACTATCCCACGAATGAATCAGAAGATGAAAATTATGAAACGACAAAAGCTCCTGAAGTAAATTTTCCTGATTCGGATCAAAATCAAGGATTTCCACCTCTGCCTTCAGGATTCAAACCAAGTGAATTACCAACGTTAAAACCTTTACTAAACGAGAGCCCTGACCCATTTGGCTTAACACAGCCTACATCTGAATTGCCTATGCTGAAACCTATACCGGAGACCGCTATCACTGAATTGCCTATTGTGACACCTGCACCGGAAACCGCCTTCTCAGAATTGCCTATGCTGACGCCAGTACCGGAGACCGCCGTCACTGAATTGCCTATGCTCACACCAGTACCAGAGACGGCCTTGTCGGAACTGCCTATGCTGACACCTGTACCGGAGACAGTCGTCCCTAAATTTACTCCAGACCCTGTTCACCAACCTACAAAGTTACCAGAACTTACACCAGTGCCAGCCTTCGATTCAAGAAACAGCTTCAACTTTGCACCATTCCGTAAATATCTTTTCGCGTTTTAAACAAAAAGAGGAATTGAATAATCTGATTATGGGAAACGTTTTGGCACTTGAATTTTGCTTTGCATGGTGCGTTTGTTGTTTATTTACGGTATCCTACATCATGACTAGCAATATCTAAAAACACATGTCCATATTATACCGCTACTGACATTTTCGTTCTAAAATAACGCTCATCATCATAGAATTGTTAACCTCGTCAAAGGCTTCTTATGGTACGTACGTATAGTCCTTTCATTTATTCTTGTCGATTTTTGTATTTTCCATCAAACAGGAAGCTTCGAAACGAAATAGCATCAACATTTCTCTTCATAGATCCTAATTATTAAGGTCGCGTAGATGTTGTTGACTATTATAAGTAGCTATTATAGCTTCTTGTAGAACCGCAAAGTCCGGTATTAAATGCGTTTCGGATGAGATGTTGCTCAGATCTTGTGGTGCATTTGAAGGTCATCGAAAAACCCTGCCCTTGATAGATTATAACTTAAATCTGTGCGGTAGCTTCAGTTGAGTAACGCATGTTATTAGCAAATGATGTGTAATCAATCGTAGACGAGATGATTTACTAAATACGGGCCGTTAGTTTGTCTTGAAATTTTATTCGTCGACGATAAAAGTAGTTGAACTTCCATTTAAAGCCAGCACGCGTTTAAATAAAAAACCCCAATGTCGCCTATTCAAAGTCACCGAGTCACTTAATACTCTCCTCGTCTGTTAGAAATAAGGTCTCTCTTAGGAATACATACAATCGTCAATAGGTCAACGATACCGAACATAAAATGCGTCTTGTTAAAATGGTTTAATTTTTTATTTTTCTGCCTGATTCTAATAATTAATCGAAAGTTGGTTTCTTATAGTTCAATATCAAGTAAAGCAAATTCTTAGAAATTATATACAACAGCTCAATTATATAATTTATGCAGTCTTAAATTGTTTGATAAAAGTAAGGCAACATCAAAACCGGTTTTTATGTTTATCGTGACCTTACTTTTATAGTTTCCGGTTGGTTCTTGAATTTTAGTTGCTTGATTTAACTAAACAACAGATTAACATAATCCAGTCTTTGTTAAACATTGATAAATGATTAAATACGTAAGAAATAGTGATATACACTAATAATCAAATACAAATCGGCAATTGTTTGGAGCAATACACCAAGCAAATTTAGGACGGAATAACCTCGTGTATTTGAATTACATATGGTGTGTGTCCACATAAAATTAGGCTCGTCAAAATGATTGTGTAAATTACAGACAGTTCATCGGACCGTCACGCTAGACGACCATTTGAACTGGCTTCCGAATCTGTTGTTTTTTAAAATACCTGTGTACAGTGCCTCTATTTTCTCAATGTCCCTCGGCAATCATCGGATTTCCGAATGCCCACGAATATTAATTTCCATGCCCATTAATTATTAGACTTTTTTTGTTACCATGCTGCCACGCAGAGGTCTGATTCGATTGGGTTCGATTCCCGTGCCGGGAGAAATATTTGTTGAAATATTTATCTGTGTGTCCATGGCACACAGGGTTTCCCTAGTGTGGGGCGGTATATTAAGTGTGTGCGTCATATAATAATTGTAAATTTAAACAACGTACTTTATTGTTGTTGTTTTTTTGTTATCCGTGTGAATAGAGCTGTAAAACTGTTTCCATATTTTTAATAACACTTACGTGAATAAGCACTCTGTGGCCGAACGGTTACCATGCCGGACTGCCACGCAGAGGTCCCAGGTTCGATTCCCGGGCCGGGAGAAATATTTGTATGGCCTACATTTATTTCTCTCGTGAGTTTGGGTGTAATTTGTGGTTGTCTATGTGTGTCCATGGCACCCGCGACACAGGGTTTCCCTAGTGTGGGGCTATGTTGAGTGTGTGCGTTATTATTAAAAAAAAAAATAGCAAGTTAACAAAAACATTAAGTAAATATGGTGTACTTTTTTTAAATAAGTAAAAAATGAATATTCTTCCTATTAGTAATAATTTCAATTCTGTCCGTATCTGAACGCATTTCTTCATCTGACATAGTTGTTATGTTAGTACGTTCGACATCGATGTATCACTTTCCGCGCTTATCGAGCTGGTATTGGATTCTTGTACATAATACAAGTACACGCTGTAAATTATCTGTCATGGCAGTGCCCTTAGCGGCTTTAAACCCATTGTATAATAGACAAAAAATGGAACAGCAATTCTATATACTTATAAGTCGATTGAAAGCGTCCGGTCTGTAAAAGTTAAAGGCACATGGGTCTGTTATAGGCAGAGCTGAACAAAGCCCGACGACAACCGAAAGACGAAGTTTGCCCAGAGACATTGCGAAAATAGAAGCACTGTACCTCTTTTCGCGAAATCTACTTTAAAAGGGCGATATATTTTCTATTCTTATGAATTGCTTTCGAACAATAGTACCCTGGAGCTCGCTGATTGCTATTATTAAACAATTCGTAATCTGTGGCCAAAGTTTATCTAAATGAAGACTTGAAGCGAATTGATTTAGTGTACAATTACCATTTATTCTTACTAATTAGTGGCACAAGTATGTATATGTAACTGTTTTTCTTCTAACTTTGAATTCTTCACGTACTTTTACGCTTTTATACCTACTACTCATACTACTGGAACCGCATGCATTGGGCAACATAAAATTACATGTTATAATATCCCATAAATATCATCACTAACTGGAATGATTTGTTGACCAATTTGTATCTACATTTACAACGGCACTATTTTGTAGTGTAGAAATCGCTAAAGTCCTAAACTATTTGACAATATCGTACGACTCATAAGACATTAAGTTTATTACATTGCTGTGCGGAAGTTCTCGATTGTGTATCTCGTTCAATGAATATTGCATGCAACTGCGTTCGTTTATGCATTGCGAGTTTTTCTTGAAAACCAAAGACGATTACAATTCCATTTGCCGCAAAGCGAAAATTACGTTTTTTGTGATATCAACTAACTGGACGAAAAAGTCTTAAGCTTCGTGGTAAGAGACACGCTTACCCTTAACAGTTGCAATGCCACTCAGACATTGACTTACAAATAAATGGACGACGGGTTTAATACAAAAACCACGAAAAAATGTCCCAAGTCAACCTATTAAAACGTAGTGACATGTAAAGGAATATGAAAAAGCTAAAACGTTGAATTTAAATTGTAATGTCATCGCAGTACTGTCTAATTTTGCTTGCTTCGCTGTCAGTCGAACAAACGAAGACTAAAGCGTGAATGACGCTCTGTATACGATTTTAACGCCCTATAAGTTCGGACACTTTTTAGCGCGGACCCGACGTCCATATAATTGTAAGTCAATGCACTCAGAGTATTAAATGGCTCAAAACATCCGACGGTCGCTGCCACGCCCGCCACCCTGATGGCGCATTTACACCAATAGGGCTAACACGACCTGTCGAGCCCTGGCTCGACTTGCGCGAGAGCGACATAACGCGCCTTACAAGTCGACAGCCGACCGCCCGAAGCTACCCGGTGTTAAAACCGTATTTCGCAGCCGAAGTCGGCCAAAGTGACGCTATGGGCGACACGGTCGCCTTCGACAAGTGACAATCGAACAAACAGGTATCAACGTGGCCGCGGCCACGCCCCACCGCGATAAGGATTTTGTAAACGAAAGCGGCAGACTAGACTACTGCAAATGACCCGGTGTGAATGCGCCATGAGACATTAAGTTAACAAGTCCGATGTAGCTGTAATGTCACCGGGTCCATACCCCTCAAAAGCACAAAAACACTACTGCTTGGCGGCAGAAGGCGGTGAAGTCGCAGTACGTCTATGGACGAAAATTTTTCACATGGAGCTCAATGTTCCCACAAATATTCTTAAAGATCCGCTAAGGCTTTCGACTACCCTATACGCGACTCTTCCGTATTCTTTGGCAGTTATTTCAGAAAATTATATTTGTCTTCCAGAGGAAACCTGTCAGACTGTAGACGGTGGCATCGGATCTTGCTTGTCGATTCTTGCTTGCGAGCCCTATGTGAAACTGTTGAATGAGGCCAGAAGCGGTAACAATCCAGGTTTAGTACAAGTGCTGAGGAGAGCACATTGTGGCTTTGAAGGCAACAATCCTAAGGTAAATATTTAATTTCGTTTTAATTTCAAATGCTTTGCGTCGAAGGAAAACATGGAGATGAAACCAATAACCTAAACACTCTAATTAAATGGTGACCCATGCCCTGCAATGGAACGCGAATAGGGGTGATCACTTTTATTGAACTTAGAAGAACCAGACATAAAAAAATTTAATGTACACACGGTCTAAAATTTAGCTTCTTGCCTAAAGTTATTACATAACTTGTTGATTTAGCGGTGCACTATTAAAATCCATAAAAATGGTGCTGTGTTTTTTCAAAAGGTCCGTTATTTTACTTTTTTATTTTAGGTTTAATTTGTAAATAAAAAAATTGTTGGCAATAATTTTTTAATCATTTTTTTAATTTATAAAAGTTTGATTTAATTTTTACATAAAGTTGATTTGTCACCAAACATAAATTATTATTTAAATATAAACGTTAATATTTCAAATTGTCTCTTCTTTTTGTTACTCTAAATATGTGTGTATACGAGAAAAAGCAAAATTCTTACTTTATCGAACACTATGCCAACGTAATTATTGGACCAGTTTCGTTTTTATTTTGTTTATTGCATCTTTTTTTTTTACAAAACTCATTTCTTTGTTTTATTATTCGAATTTTGGAATTTTATTTAAAAAAAAAAAAACAAATTAGCAAACAAATATGACTGTTTACAAAAGTAATAGAAAATTGCCAAAAAATAGAGTTGGTGTAATGTTGATTGGAGGTATCTTGTTGAGTGGAGATAGACAACAATGGTGATTGCGATATTTAGTCGGCCTCTATTTCAGTATTCGGTATTTACTTATTAGCAATCATGCATACACATTTAAATTTACAATACATGTACGCTGTAAGGGTGTATCTAAAAATTAGACATAAGAAATAAACAAAGTAATGTCATTGACTTACAAATAAATGGACGACGGGTCTAATACAAAAACCACGAAAAAAATGTAGTGACATGTCAAGGAATATGAAAAGGCTAAAACGTTGAATTTAAATTGTAATGTCATCGCAGTACTGTCTAATTTTGCTTGCTTCGCTGTCAGTCGAACAAACGAAGACTAAAGCGTGAATGACGCTCTGTATACGATTTTAACGCCCTATAAGTTCGGACACTTTTTAGCGCGGACCCGACGTCCATATAATTGTAAGTCAATGAGTAATGTACAAAAAAAAATTGATCTGAGAAGTTTTTTAACAAAATTATTTACATCTTTTGCACAGGTGTGCTGTCCCAGACCCGGTTTCGCCTCAGAAGTGCCGACCGCACCCCCCACCCCTGCCCCCACTCCAGAACCCGTTCCAGATCCGGCGGCAAAGACCACGGACAATGAAAGTCCCGGTTCAACTTTCTTGCAGCCTCCAGTATGTGGATTCAGCAATGCTTCTTTAGGAAGAGTAGTAGGAGGCGTTGACGCCCGACTTGGTGAGGATGTTCTCTTATTTTTTAGATGGTCGTCAGTGTACCACAGACATGTATCTAAATAGACACCGCAAGTACCGCGATCCGTATGAAAACCAAGCGTTCACTCCGATGACGTCACAAGCGCTAATTAGCGATGGGAGACCTCCTTTGGCACTAAAGCGATTAATTAAATCGAAGACGCGACCGTATCACGTATTTAGAATAATGATTTTTCAAATATTTATTGATTATAGGAAGCTGGGAATTATTTATGTAGTAAAATACCAAAATAAGATAATGAAGTCATTTATTAATACGTATTATGAAAAAAAAGTTATTCCAGAAAACTAAAAAAGGTGCAACGCACTATATAGAATATTTTTATCGCATTTTCTAAGGTCTTAAGAATTATCATCCCATTGTTTCTTAAATCGATCAGAATCGAGAACTGTGTTGCAAGTGAACCTATTTCTGCCGCCAAGCAGTAATGTCAGCATTACTGTGTTCTGGTTTTGAAGGGTAAGGGTGCTGGTGAAATTACAGGCACATGAGACTTGTCAATTTATGTCTCAGGGTGACGGGCGCAGTGGCAGTGCCCCTCAGATCTTTGCGATTTGAAGCTCTGAGTGGCACTGCAACTGTTATGGACAGGCTTGTAGCCTTACCATTAGGCAAACGACCAGTTCGTCCCGTCATTTTGGTATTATAAAAAAAAATCACTAATCGCAAAATTTGAAAATGATTGCATTATTCGAAAGTATCGCTCGTTCGATATTAAAAGCAGCAAGTAAACGCCACAATGTATTACGAATCACGCGGCAAATACTCGTTTGCATATTTGGAAATTCATTCACAACGAAAATAATTGATTTTAAAATAAATTACGCTTATTCTGATTACAAAATTACTGAACTATGGAAGGAAACGTCTTTGTTTATTCATCTATTCATAGCTGTGATGATTTTGCAGTTTCTATTGGCACAATTAGGCTATTTCCGCGCCGGGCGCGTTCTGAAGCGTAGCAGCGGCAACTAGGCTTTACAGCTGGCCACGTGTAGTGGGTACATTTGCGTCGTCTATTTAGACATATCGTCGAGAATAGTGCAATTGCGCGTAACAAGCATTTGATTATGAGTCTCTATTTCGGTAATGTAGTGGCCAAATCACGTCCACGTAGATGTCGTGGCATCCAAATTATCGTGATTTATGGGAATCTATTGTTATCACTCCGTAGACAATATAAATTAATGCTTACTGTGGAATTTGTACGACAATATGTCTATGCCGTATACCGGCAAAATTATTATAAATCATAATGTACCAACTAACCATACAAATTTCCTGGTTTTTAACCAGTACCAGAGCAAAATCCATTTCTCAATCTAATCCTACCAGTCATCAAAGAGATTTTTACTAATAGGGCACCACTGTAAGGAGTTAATCAATTTAGAATGGATTTTAACAACGTCTCAAAAACTTCCGTTCCGAGCATTGACTTACAAATAAATGGACGACGGGTCTAATACAAAAACCACGAAAAAAATGTCCCAAGTCAACCTATTCGAAATTTAAATTGTAATGTCATCGCAGTATCGCGCTGTCAGTAGAACAAATGAAGACTAAAGCGGAGTGTCGCGCTCTGTATACGATTTTAGCACCTTACAAGTGCGGACACTTTTTAGCGCGGACCCGACGTCCATATAATTGTAAGTCAATGGTTCCGAGGTCATTTTTTTTTCATTTTTAGTTAATACATCATGTCGACCAGTGAAAACAAGTCTTCATAATGTAAATGTGTTCTTTTTTTTGCCTGACGGTAAGCCACATGCCTGTCCGTAACAGTTGCAGGGCCAGTCAGAGCATAAATCGCAAATATCTTACGGGCGCTGGTACTGCGCCCGTCGCTCTGAAACATTACTGCTTGGGGCAGAAATAGATAAGGTGGCAGTACTTCTCTGGACTCATTCACAAGAAGCTCTACTGCTAATAAAACTAAAAATTTTCAACTAACGATGAATTCTGTTGAAGGTGACTTCCCGTGGATGGCACTGCTGGGGTACAAGAACCGACAGGGCACTGGATGGAACTGCGGTGGATCACTCATCTCCTCCAAACACGTGCTGACTGCCGCACATTGTATTCATGGCCATGAACAATCGCTGTGAGTACCATTATTCTTATTCCCCATGTCGGACAACCAGAGGCCCCAGGCCTAATTGCTACGCCACGGTGTATCACCATTTATAGATTCATCATCAACATTACAATATGACATAACTTTTAAATAACATTCTGTTAAGAATCCTCGCAGGTAGAAATGATGTTCACAATAAAGGTAAGTACCAATTTACCATAAAGTTTTTTGACGCAATGACACTATGATGATAATTAGTTAAGTGTATAATTATACAGGGTGTCCAACGCCTATGTGACACAGATGGATAATACTTTAAATATTGTAGATAGGATTTTAGTAAACATTATTTTATTTTTAAAAGTAAGTAATAAGTTTTTATTACGCCGATTGAAAGAGGCAATTAGAAGAATTAATAACATATACATATAGTTTCTTTTTTTTTTAACGCACACACCCATAGACCTGCAACTAGAAACCCTATATCGCCGGTGACACGGACACGCACATAGACAACCACAAATCACACCCAAACTCACGAGAGAAGTAAATGTAGGCCGTATAAATATTTCCGGAATCAAACCCGGAGACCTCTGCGTGTTAGAGTTACGTTTAAATTTAAAGAAACATCATGGTATAAAGATGAAACTCGAGGTCATAAAGCGTTCAGAGACACTAACGCTGTAGTAGAGTAAGACAAGCAGTTGTTTATTAACAATGCACGTGACTGCAGTGAAGGCCGCGGTTTTTTCACAAAACACCCGCAGTAAACAGGAAAATATTATATTTGTAAGAATCGTATAAACCTACGAGACACCAGCATTTAAAATCATATGGATATGCAACTTAAATTTTGAGCTCTAGGAAAAACAGATAAAGTCTTTTATAAAAATTTTGAAATAGGTACACTAAACTAGCCTTTGTTTATCTACTTTACGTGTTATAATAATCATTACGGTAAGTTCAAATTGTGCTAAAGTACCGTAATTTATGAAACAGTTATTTGTTATGCAAGGCTGCAAAATTGTTGTTTGTTTTGAAACCTGAGCAAGCGAAGGAAGGTAATATAATATAGATTCCTGAGCGTACCGAGGGTTTCAAGGCACGAGACGCAAAACAACTTTACTGCCGAGCGACCACACAACTTTTCACCTCACTATAGCGAGGAAAATGGTAGATGAAAGAAAAACAGTTGAACAATAAAACAACAGTTTTTTTGAAGAAAAAGTTTATCTTCGGATGCGTTCTGAATTTACACCTCATTAATTTTTATTCTTGCTTGTAATTTTATTTTGTGTGATTAAGTGATTATTGAAATTATTTTAATTCTTTGCATAAATAAGTAATATACGACAAATCGCGTAGTTGAACGGGTCATTATCTTTTTTTTTTCATCGAGAGAAAAAGTTAGGTGCACCACAGCACATGACCACAGTCCATCGTCAAGTTGGAATTTCAAAAACCTTTTTCACGCTATCGTGCAAAACACGCTTTTGAAAGAAAGCTTTTCCGAGCTGAAAGCTAAGAAAAATTAATGAGGTGAAATGAAAAGGAAAAATGAAAAGACATTAATACGAGAAACATAAATAAACTAGCTGTTCCTGACAGCCGTCTGCACAAAGTCTCAAATTGATTTAATTGCAATATATACGCTTCTGTAATAAAATTCCGATTGATAATCAAAATTCGCCATTTACGAGGTTTAAAACTATAGTCAGACAAAAACTTTATACTAAAGGTTAATAATATACAGCTTCCGAGTACTTGGATGACAAAAATCCGTGGTAGCGACCCGTCTAGCTCCTGCAGGTGTCTCCAACTAAGATGTTTAAATTAAAAATCATATAACAAATTAGCACATTCTATAGACAATATCCTTAGGTGTATCCTCTATTTTTATAAGACCGTCATTTAATAGTAAATATCTAAACCTCTTGATCCAGCAAAACAGTTTTTCCCGTTTTAACTGAGGTGACACGCTTCGAAACAGGTGTAAGTTAAAAAAAAAGTAATATTGTACATGAATGACGACAACTTAGCAAATGTTGATTGATCAAAATTGTTCGACCTTTCCATTCTGAATATCGCTTATAATTGTGCGAAGCTGCTTAAAATCTGAATCGGTCGTTAAACTTTTGGACTGAACTTGACGGTTACTTTGAATCTCTGCGAACTCAATCACTAACAAGAACTTGGTAATTCCGGGGTGCTAGGTGGCGAGGTCGCGGGTCGCAGACGCACAATGGTTCGTTTGACCGAGGCTGTCTAGCCGCGATTGATAATCAAAATTCGCCATTTACAATGTTTAAAACTATAGTCAGACAAAAACTTTATACTAAAGGTTAATAATATACAGCTTCCGCGTACTTGGATGACAAAAATCCGTGGTAGCGACCCGTCTAGCTCATGCAGGTGTCTCGATCTAAGATGTTTAAATTAAAAATTGTAATAATAAATGTATTCAAATGTATATTTATTTACAAAAAACAACCTTAAGAACGAGCTATAGAGTTCAAGTGCAAATTTACTATTTACGTGGTCTGTGGTAATTTGCTTACTTTTGAAACAAAGATTATTTGTCATTGAATTTGAACGTTTCTCATCCCCCAAAAGATGGGTTAAGAGCAGCACATTTGCAGCATTATTGCAGATGTCGCCAACAAACTGCTGTTCAGTTTGTTACTTACTTAATTTTGTCTACTTTAATAAATGTAAGATTACATAGTATTAATTGCACCCGCTTACTAAATCAAAGGTACGCCTTTATCCTACGTTTTACTGCCTATATTTACATAATTTTGTGTCATTCCTTAGCCAATCAATGTCGTTATATATTTATGGAACTAAATAACGCGTACATCTTTTTCCGTAATAGTTATTTGCTTTAAACTGCACTTAACTTTTTTGTCATGTACCTATTCTTAAGCTTAACTTTGTAGTTATAACCTCAGATTATAACTATATTGTAATTTTCGTATCAAATACTTGCACTTAATTTGTATTGGCATGACCTTACAGTGACTAAATAAGTCATTGTATTCTGTGCCATCGCATACTTTTTGCATACTAAATGCTTTATCAGTCTAATTTGTAGTAACTAGTATTCAATCAAATCGCCACATCTACTGAATACTAATTAGTACTCGTTCAGGTTTCCCTGAGAAAAATGATTAAGAAACCATAAGGGTTGCTCTTTGTTAATAGATAGTTGTTCGCATTTATTTATCCTTCATTGGCACTAGTATTATAAATGCGAAAGTAACTATGTCTGACCTTTTCGCGCCAATTTCCCACGCAGCTACTTTTAACAGCGATACAAACGTACGTTCGTGAAACGCGCGATTGCATCGCTACACTTGGGGTTTATATGCCATCGCATCGAAGCAATCGTTCGTTTGTATCGATGAAGTCGCGCTTGTGTCGCTGGTTCAAATCGCGCGTGTGTGTAAAGGCAGACGATTAGCGGTTGCATCGCTACTGCATCGCGTTTGCGTCGCATTTGAATCGCTGCTTCAAATCGCGCTTGTGTGTCTAGAAGTCGCCGTGTGTAACCGCACTGTGACGGTGTGACCTACTTACACCGTCAACTCACCTCTTTGTATCGCCTCTCTCCGCTTTTATTTAAATTTTAAATTTGAATTGTTCCATCTTCCTTCACTTTCTCATTTTGTTTTCGTACCACGGTCACTCCCAGCTCGACCGCCACAACAGTCGGAGCTGTTAATAAGCTAATCATGTGTGATAATTTATAAGCCCACAGCCTTCATGTATCTATTTCTGTAATACTGTTTCTCGGCCCATTTTAGGGTGCCTAAGTGCCTTAATAATAAAGTGTAGGGAGTGTTTTATACTGTTGTACCTGTTTTTTTACATTTACCTTTTTATTGTTAAAGCCCTTTCTTAAAACTTTACTTCTTTAATAAATTTTGTGGACCGGAAGTTTCCCATTTCATTGCGGTGAACCTGTTCATGGCTAGTTGGGGTTACAACCCTTTCAGCTCTAAGCCGCTGAACCAAATTTGATGAATCTTGGTATATAGTCATATGGAGCCTAGAGAGAGAGAACCTAAAATTAATCTAAAAGGGGGTGACATAGAGGAAGGAAGGTTATATGGAGAAGCGACAAAATTATGAAAATTAGCATGGTACAGTAAGCTAGTTGACATTTTACATAAGTAACATTTATACAGCTCAACTTAAAGGACATTAATGAAAAGTCATCCGAGACAAGATAGTCAGTGGTATTAAAAATGATTTCGCCACATAGTCCAAAGTATACAGGTGCGTCGATCTATGGGCGTTGTACGAGCTGCGGCCACGGCGTCACCGGCGTAAAATTGGCGTGGTACAGGGTCAAGAGCATGTCAAGCTTTACGCTTAAGACTTAAATTCAACTCTAAGCCGCTTACGATAAGAACGGACCAAAGTACAAAGTGCCAAGCTTGATGGGTTCTTGACTGTACATATTTTTCAGATCTATAAGAAACATTAAGACTGTTTAATCCACCCTTTGTGATAATATTCAACAATTTTTACACTTTAGTGTAAATGTTTTGTAATAACATAATCAAATTATAACAAAACTCGATTTACATAAATATTTACTCGTAAATCGAGTTTGCCTTCGATTGAGTTTTAACCCTGGCGTTTACAAAGCATCGGATTAAAACCCGGGCACTTGCCTATCTCTGGGCATATCCGATCTTTTGATGATGTCAATAAAACCTAAAGTTTATACAGCTCCCGCGTGTTGGATGACAAAAAATCCATCATAGTGACCCGTACAGCACTTTCAGGTTGCGTCTTGTATGATATTTTTGATATTAAACTTAATTAAATTGAAAAATGTCTGTACCGTAAATATAGTACAGGTGGTTCATTTAGTTCAGTTGATATAATATAATCATTGGTGGCTTTTTTCTATCGTGTAATTTTTTTTGACACCGTATACTAATTTCAACACTATCACTGTCGCAACTTTATTTGTAAAGGAAAATATTGTAATAGATATCTATTTACCTATAGCCACTGGCTGGTTGAACATTAATATTACATCTACAACGTAAGACAGATGAATTAACAACATCCTCCATTCTAGAAGTGTATCGAAAATTGCTCGTAAGCTAAAAACCCCTGTATAGATTCTTATAAAATAATTTAAGACACAATGTACTATTTGCTCATGGGAACCTGTCTCGTCATGTACATGAGAAATAAAAATATCAAAACAAAACGATACGCAGTAGGGCTATGCGTAACTTACTCGCACATATTTATTTCTGATTACTGTTGACTTATCTATTATTTAAAGCCTTGAACAAGAGATGTTTATTACAAATCTGCATATATAGTATCTGTAGGTATGCTCATATAACACCATTGTAAATATCATTAACGTATTTTTATGTTTTTACACACACGAACACTAACAGGTAGCCATTTACCTGTTGTTATGTTCAAGTTCGCTACTAAGTTATTTGTATTATTATTATTCTACAGAGTTTGCAAACTGTACGCAATAGGACTTTTGTATATTGATAATAATTATCACGAAAGTTAAAGTGAACTGGTGTTTTGGAAATAATGACACTTACAGTATTACATAGCGTCATTACCGAAACCTAACCTAAACTCCGGTAAAAAAAACCGACCTCAAAAGTCATTCATCCCCTAGTTTGCCACCCTCGGAGGAGGAATATTTTCTTGATATTTAAATGGGACCACATCTGAGGTACCTTCTTTCCGACAAAAAAAGAATCATCAAAATTGGTAACATACAAACAAAAAAACACAGACGACTTGAGAACCTACTTCTTTTTTGAAGTCCGTTAAAAAAGAGCAATAAAGTTGACCTACAAAGTTGAAAGTATAGGAATAGGAGGGTTTAGTTTTATCTCTACGTATTTGGCGCTTTTGGTTTAATGTTCCGAGTCGCTTTTCTTCGAACGTAACACATTTTTAGCCGACTTCAAAAAAAAAGGAGGTTATACGTTCGGCTGTATGTATGTTTGTTTCAATAAGAAAGAAGATATCCATAATATTAACCTTAGAGCTAAGT